CAGCCCGCATTAAGGGAGGTTCAATCCAGACTGCCTAAAAGGCAGATTGGGTTGAACCCAACCCGCATATACCTGCCGGGCAGGCCGGGTTTTAATATGCCAACCCGGCGGGTTAAATTTTTTTTTTTTTAAGAAAAACCCTCTAACCCGCCAGGTTGGGAGTTTTCAACCCGGCGGGTTGGACGAAAAAAATTAAATATTAATTTTTTTTTTTTGTAAATACCTCTTTTACCCTTGAAATATAACTGTTTTATAGCAGTTAGAGGGGTCTTTTTCGTTATTTTCTTTTCCCATTTTTTTTTCTATAAATAGGGCATAAACTCTAATATTTTATCACATCCCAAATTCTCTCATTCTATCATTTTCTCTAATCTATGTTGAAATCTCTCAATTATTCTCTTTGTTATCAATTTGCTCTCATTTTAATTTTTATTAGTTTTTGCAATTTTCAATTCATATTTCCAAATTCCAATTCTCCTTCTTTAATTTTTTTGTTTCTTCTATATCAATTTTTTTTTTTTTTTAACTACAATGGATAGATATTTTTTTTTGATAAGTAATGAATAGATATTTTCATCCTATTGATTTAGATGATGAAGGAAACTATCATAGTCTCCTTGAATTTACTAACATAAACGCAGTAGATTCAAGTAGTCCTACTTTCCCAGTCTAAGAATCTGATACTCCTTATATATGTGAAAAGTAGTATGAAAAAAATTAGAAATAATATTGATAGAATTAGGGATTCTTTAGCTTGGATTACTAGTAATAATAAAAGAAATGATGAATTTCAAGATGCTTGTATAAAATCAAATATGTCTCCTAAAACTTTTGCATTAGACATGCCTGTTAGATGGAATAGGGCTTATTTAATGCTTGATTCATGTTTACCTTATGCAAATTTAATTAGTTATTTTGTAGCAAATAATATAGGTCATCATTATTTGGTAGAAAATGATTGGTATATAGCTAAAAAATTTCATTCCTTTTTTAAAACTTTTTACCAATCCACTTTACAACTTCCTGATATGTATTATCCTACTAGTCCATTGGTAATACATACAATTATAAAAATTTCAGATTTATTTAGAAAAAACAGAAACAATGAAATTTTAGTAGGACCAATATAGGCAATGGAATTAAAATTTAAAAAATATTGGAAACCCATTCCTTTTCTTTATTTTTTAGGTGCTATATTTGATCCTAGAATTAAAGTAGCACATTTAGAAAATGGTTTAGACACATTAACTGAAAATTTACAAAATGAAGCATATGCCAATCAACTAGGAGAGGTAAGAGAGTGTCTTGTAGAGGTATATTTGCAATATGAAAACAGGTATGGGAACCAGCAAAGAGGCGAAATATCCAGAGAAGTTACATCAGAAGAAACAAATGAAGACTTCGACTCCTGGAGTGTACTTAATAGGCCGAAGAGGACCCGAACCCGAAGCACAGCCTCCTCTTCAGAAGCACCAACAACGAATGTACTGTCCTCCATGCAGTTACAGAATAATGAGCTTCACCAATATTTGGGAACCCCCGAAGTGTTACCAGTAGATCCACAACAAAAAACCGACTTTGATGTCTTAGAATATTGAAAAACCAGAAAATGGGTTTTTCCAATATTATCAAGACTTGCCTTGGATGTTTTCTCTGTTCTTGTAAATTGTAACTTGTAAATTAATTATCAATTATTGCACTCTTTTTTCCTTACCAAGTTTTTGTCCCATTGAGTTTTTCTTGGTAAGGTTTTTAATGAGGCAATAATTGTTGTAATTTCTTATTTTATTTTTTGATAAATGAATAAATCTAATGTTTCTTATATTACAATTTCATTGTATTAAAATTGAATTAATATTTGAAATGTTAACAAAAAAATTAATTTAATTGAATTATTGATATTTGAAAAGTTAACTAAAAAGTAAAAACAATTACACAAAAGAAAAAAAATTTAAAAATGATGGGCTAACCCGGCCTGGCCCGCATCAAGACCCATCCGGTTAGGGTTGGCGAGCAGGGCTGGGCCACCCTTTTTGGCCAAGAGGCGGGCCCAATCCAACTCACCCTTGTTGGCCCGTCGGGCTAAGCCTGACCCGCCAATTCCTATACCCCGCCGCGGGTTGGGTTGGGCAAGTTCTTTTTCCACCTCTAGGCAGATGGTGTTGGGTTGGGCAAGTTCTTTTTCCACCTCTAGGCAGATGGTGTTCATTTCGGCAAAAACAACTTGTGAAATTCTTGGCAACTCCATGTTCCTTTCCCCTTTGGGAAACTTTCCTTATTTGGCAAGGACAATCCATGACATTCTTGGCAGCTCTTTGTCCCTTTCCTAAAGAGGAAAGTCACATGTTCTTTGATTTCCCTAGCATTTTATTTATAATTATTTTTTGTTTGCTGTGTTTACATATCCCCATGTATGTCTAAACTATTTTGAATTTAAAATCTCTCTTGACCGCCACATGTCTGGTCAAGATTGATTTTAGTTCCTTTTTTCTGTCACATGGATGGCCTAGATTAGTTGTTGAATTAGGGCAAACCTTTTGTAAGGCCTATATAAAGGCAAACTTCTTATTGTAATGGAGAGACTTGATTAATGAAAATGGGGAGCTCTTGAGAGAGTTTGTTTGTTCATCCTTTATCAAATCTTTGCCATAGGTTGGTGGTGGATTCCTTGGCTGGTGGATTTCTTTAGGCCTTGGTTGGTTATTTGGCAATTTATGTTTGTTTTATTATTCTTTTGTGTATGTTTTGTGCTGGCCGAATTGTACATTGGTGTTATTGTTTTGCGACCGATTTGTGGAGTTATTGTGGAGTAGCATTTGAGATTTGAAGTTTGGAGGTTGCTGGTGTGTTATGGGCTGTTGGAAATCTTCTTTAACTCACTCAAAGTAAGTCAGAACGCATCACATAATCTTTCAAAATAGAAGTAGACTGAAAAGGTGGCAAAACAAAGCCATCAATCTGCAACAGAAAATAAAAATAAAAGCATAAAAAGTAGAAGAAATGGAAATTGAAATTGAAAAAAGAAATTTGGGGAAAGTGAGGGGAGGCTATAGAGAGGATGAGGCCATTAGGAGAAGAGTGTTGGAGGTGGAAAATGCGAAGGATATAATCAGAGAGAGATGAGAGATGGTTTTGCAAAGTTTAGGTTTAATGAGAATCCAGCATTTCTTCATCCCTTTCTTCTTTTGTAATCTTCTCAGAATTTGAGGACTTCAGCTGGGAAGACAACAACGCCGCCGGTAACACCTTGCAAGATTCTTGAGTGGTTGACAAGATATCCAGCCCTGAGTTGACTAAGTGGAAGGGAGTGCTTGATTGGAAGGTGGCTGAGCTCGGGGGTGGTGGACGTTGCAGATGGCTAGACGACGGCGAGATCGAAGAATGTGTTAATGGGTGAGATTGGAAGGTGGCTGAAATTCGTGGTGGTGGATTCCTGTCATGGTGGTCACCGGTGAAGCTTTGTGGCTCGGCTGTCGTGCGACTGAGACCGGGATTCGTGGTGCTGGAATCTTGCTCCTGGTGGCCGCCGTCGAAGCTTTGTGACTCGGTTGTAATGGAGTTGAGACTGGGATGGAAGGTGGTGCCTAGGGTTTTTCAGACTTGAAATTGGATCAGGAAAGTTTTTGGTTCAAATGAATCAGGGTTAATGTTGGAAAAGTAACCCGTCAACCCTAACCCGGCGGGCTAGGCTGCGGGGCGGGCCTGGTTAGCACCCCCCTTTTTTTTAATTCTTTTATACATTTTTATCTTTTAATATTAAAAGCTGTGTTGAAAGTTTACTATAATTTTTTAATGGAAAACATTTTGTAAATATAATATCAACCACGTTTTCAAATATCAAAAATATTGTAATAAAACTAAAAAATTGAAAAATATTTTAGCTTTTGAAATTTATTTTTAAATAAAAAATCAAACCCAACCTAATTTTTTTATCAATCAAAGAATGTCCCTGAATTATCTACAAAAATCTTTTTCATAGATGCACATTCTGCAATAAATTTTAATGACAACCATTTATTTCCACTCCAGAATTATATATATTTAGTTTTAATTGTCATTTAGTTATTATATGTGATAATTAATTTCATTTGCTTTATTCATTTAATAACAATAATTATTACTTTTTTCCTTTTATGGTAGTTTATTTATTTAAAAAAATTTCAGAAGGCAAAGATTTAAGACACTTTTTAACCAGTGAGACATGAATTTTTTATGTTCATGTTGGTTACATGTCAAAATGTCATTAATTAAGAGGTTGTGTCTCATTAAGCCTGATAACATGTCATATGTGACAATGGATCCATAAATATTCATGTACTTTCGGGTCATTTTAACAGATAATTTTCCAAAGAGATTCTCTCACACGCTGTTAGGAATTTGCACACACTTTCCACATTAACAACCCGTCGGGTTCTTTTAAAAAAATAGAAAAGCAACCTATCGGGTTATCGGGTTGTCATATAACAACTCGGTCCACCCGAGAGTCGCATGCGGGTCAAGTTCAACCCAGTTCGCCTATAAGGCGGTCCGGGTTGAATCCTCTTTAATGCGGGTTGGGTTAAGTTTGACCCGTTTACTCTGGTTCATTTGATCCCCTCTACTCAGGGTTATGTTAAAATTTGAAATTTATGAGACCGAATTTTTTGTTTGTTTCAAGTTTTGGGAGAGAAATTTTTGGAAAATGATGTGGTAACTTGGTGACAGGGCAGATGAGGTGATACTGGCCACTTGATGCCATGTCAAGAGAATGATGTAAAAATGTGAGATAAAGGTATCATTACTCCACCGCAGACAGGCTGGTCCACGTAGGGCTTTAACTCTTGGACATTCAGTTTCCCCAAAGATGCGTAAGATCTCATCACCGTTAGATCGAATTTAACACCCGCTTATTTCTATCAAAGTGGCCCACCCTGCTCGATGCTTGACCGTTGGATTCAACCAAAGGGTTTTTCCACTGGGTTTATAAGTTCGTTCGCCTGGGCGGCGTGCTGCATATTTAGCCAACCTTTCGTTCCTGCCTTCTCAGAGCTTCACGATTATATAATTATTTTTCCCCCTTTTTTTTAACAAAAATATATTTGGTTTAAAGCAAGTAATACATTCCACTTATATTCGGAGCTCGGTCTTGAAGGTATTAAATTGGAATTATATTTTTTTATTTTGGAGGGAAATTATTTGAATCATAATTTGTTATTAACGTGTAATGGCTATATTTTGATGAAAATTATTTATTTGATTGTTTTGTTTACTTTTGTTTTTGTTTCTGTGAAAAATGTGCAGATCGAGCTCCTCAAGGTTGAAGCTTTCAGTTTTTTGGTGGTTTAGATATTTTGCAATTTTTATTTGAAGAACTTAAACTTTGTTTTATTCGTCGAAATAACTTCTTATACACACTGGATTTATTAGCAATGGCGAACACGATGCAATTTTGCGGTGTAATTCCGAAGCAATCTTTGCATTGCCCAACTCTGTCGTGGCAGCGGCTTGAGTTTGGCGCGTGTGTGAGTTCGAGTTCTAGGTTTTGTATTAGTGTGAAAAGATCGTGTAGAGATAGAGGAGGTTTGAGAGTGAGTTGTGAGGGAGCGAAAATAGATGTGATTGAAAGGAAGGAGAGTGAGAGTCAAGTATTGGGAGAGAATGAGAAGCAATTGACATGTGTTATGAAGTTCGGTGGATCGTCCGTGTCCTCTGCTGAGAGAATGAGGGAAGTTGCTGAACTTATACTTAGCTTCCCGTACGAAAGGCCTGTGATTGTTCTCTCAGCAATGGGAAAGACAACAAATAAGTTATTGCTGGTATATAATGAATTTTTATTCTGTCTTTGTTCGATTCATATGTGATATTTTTTTTTTCTTTTTGTTTAAGATGAATGTTTTATTGCTTGTTTATTAGGCTGGTGAAACGGCTGTTAGTTGTGGGGTTACTAATGTGTCATGTATTGATGAGTTGAGTTTTATTCAAGAATTACACCACAGGTGAGAAATGTGAATTCCATTTTCATTGATGTTGATCATGGTGAATTAAAATTTGTAATTTGTTTGTATTTGGCATCTTTTATTTATCCAGGACTGCAGATGAGCTTGGAGTAGAAAGGTCAATTATTGAATGTGAGTATCTGTTTCTCTTGAAACCATTTGTTTCTTATTCACTTGTGGTTAAGACTGTCCTGTTTTTGTCTGTGGGAAACATTTTGCAGATCACCTAGAACAACTGGAGCAACTTCTGAAGGGAATTGCTATGATGAAAGAGCTAACTCCACGCACTAGAGACTACTTAGTTTCGTTTGGGGAGTGCATGTCCACTAGGCTTTTTGCTGCATATTTGAATAAAATTGGTGTGAAAGCCCGCCAAGTATGTTATTATCTTCTATATTTTTGTAACTTAGCTTGCTTGTCTTTCTCCAACTATTTTAAAAATTCAGATTTAGATTGATGTACATTGTTCCATTTTACCATGCTTACTTGTAAAATATTATTCAAATAACAGAGAATTACAATGCTTTGCTTTCTTTTTTCAGTATGATGCCTTCGATATTGGCTTCATAACCACAGATGACTTTACAAATGCTGATATTTTGGAAGCCACTTATCCAGCTGTTGCTAAGAGGTTACATGGTGATTGGATCAGTGATCTTGCAATTCCAATTGTTACTGGTTTCCTCGGAAAGGTCCTTCAACTACCTAATTGCTTTTGACATCTTCTTTGGGAGGCTTTGCAATAAGTCTCAATAGATTGTGTTTCTTTGTCTTGTATTCCAGGGCTGGAGGTCTTGTGCAATCACTACATTGGGTAGGGGTGGTAGCGATTTGACAGCCACAACCATTGGGAAAGCATTGGGGTTGCGAGAGATTCAGGTCAGCATGGATATTGAAACTATCGCTTTTGTTTATTTTTAGATCTGTCTTACATGCATGAACTACAAGTTTCCTTTCATGCAAGAGACAGACATACTACTACAACTACAAACATGTATGCCTTAAGTTTGTTTCTTTGAAATATGTGAAAGGAGTGTTTCTTTAATGACGTAGAGTTCTATATACAAGATTGAGAACCTTTGTCATTGTAACTTCTGTGTACATATTAAATTCAGAATGACATAAGACTGAGCTTTTATTGGTTACAGGTGTGGAAGGATGTTGACGGTGTTTTGACATGCGATCCTAACATATATCAACGTGCTGAGCCAGTCCCATATTTGACATTTGATGAGGCGGCTGAGCTTGCATATTTTGGGGCTCAGGTATATTTATTCTATAGCTTTTAGTCCATCTCAGTATTTGAATATCCACAATGTTCCTTTAGTTTTGGAATTGACCACAGATAAAATTGAATTTGCTTTCAAGCTGGATGTATTAAACTAGATAGCATTTTATAATGGCTAGTTGTTTGGGACCCCAAAAAATATCAAGAATTTCTCAACTAAAGCTGAAATTCTGTGGCTGGTATGATCATGACTTTTTTAACCATGTAACTTTTGTTCTTTTATCAGGTTTTGCATCCACAATCCATGAGACCAGCTAGAGAGGGTGATATTCCGGTTAGGGTTAAGAATTCTTATAATCCTAATGCCCCAGGAACTCTGATCACCAGGTCTAGAGATATGACTAAGGTTTGTTGTCAGATTGCTGGTCTAATGATTTCTTTACATAAAAGAGTATAAATCTTCTTATTTCCCAACTGCAGGCAGTATTAACTAGCATTGTTTTGAAACGTAATGTTACCATGTTGGATATTGTTAGCACTCGCATGCTTGGCCAATTTGGCTTCCTTGCTAAGGTAAGAGTGCTAATATTTGGTGCCTGTGCTTTATGTTCCATTGGGTCAGTTTGTGGTTTGAGTCATTAATTTTTGAGCTTGCAGGTATTTTCAATCTTTGAAGATTTGGGCATATCAGTGGATGTTGTAGCTACTAGTGAAGTCAGTATTTCCTTGACATTGGATCCATCTAAGCTTTGGAGCAGAGAGCTAATTCAGCAGGCAAGCGTATGATGTTTTTCTCCATGTCATATATAATTTAGCTTGATGATATACAGTCTGTACCAATTATTTTTGATCTACAGCTGGAGTCTGAATTTTGATTGAGTATTTACAATTAATCTTGTCTCTTGTTACATCTTTTAAACAGGAACTTGACCATGTAGTGGAAGAACTTGAGAAAATTGCCGTTGTCAATCTCCTTCAGCACAGATCAATTATATCTCTTATTGGCAATGTCCAGAGGTCCTCGCTTATACTAGAGAAGGTGATGGATTTTCTCTTCATTTCTTTAATTTTTTTCTCGCTTTATTTGTTATATATTTTTAGTGACCAGGTAGATTATGTGGCAGGCTTTTCATGTTCTACGAAGAAATGGAGTCAATGTTCAGATGATCTCCCAGGGTGCATCGAAGGTATTTCATAAGCCTCCTCTGATTCAATCTTCCTTTGAATCCACGCAGGAGCATGGATTTAAGAACCATTAATAATTAGTGTAGCTACACAAAACCTTTTAATCGCATAGAGACAGAGTTATATGGTCTTTTGCACAAAATGGATGTGTTTGCATTTATTTCTCACTGGTTTTTGGTTTTACAAAACAGGTTAATATCTCGTTGATTGTAAACGACAGTGAATCAGAACAGTGTGTCAGGGCCCTCCACGCCGCCTTCTTTGAGAGTGATCTATCCAATTTAGATGCAGAAGGTAGCCCTGAGAATACTTCTGCCTCAGACTAATAAATCTATTTTTTTTGTCCCTTTACTCCCAAATTTTAAACAATTTGGGAGTAGAGTACTCAGTATCATTATTTAAACATTTAACTGTCCCCTATTGTCGCGAGCAGCATAGCTCTATTATTAATCTTTGAATAATGTATTTTTCCAATTGTATTGCAAAGTAATATTTGTGCGTTGGTGATTTATGATTTGTCCGGTAACTTACCTATTGCATTATTTTGAATTACGAGATATAACAAGTTTTAAGAAAAATGCAAATTAGTATAAAATTTGAGATTATATGTGTTGGGCACAGTTTTTATTTTTTAACATCGAAAATAGTTTTGATTATCTGATCAAACATATATTTTTGAATATTAATACTAAACTTTGATAACATAAAATCCAAAATTGATTAGAAATAAAATTTCTTCTTGCTTGTGTCATTCATTGCTTTTATTCAACAGAAAACAAAGATGCCTTCAATTGACGAGCCAAGAAGACATAACCATTCCATATATAATTTTTACCTATTAATGGAAAAATAAGCTTTTAGTCAGTTTAAGCAGTAATTAATATTTAATATCGACAGAAGAAAGATGTCTTTGAGATTAGGCTAACCCTAGAGATCCTTTAATTTTAAAAGACGAAAAAATAAATAAATTTTCTTAAAGAGGTTAATATTATGATAATTGATTTTGCCCATATAAAAATAAAAATGAAAATCCCTCCATTTGACCGAACCGTAAATACTGAATAGCTGGCATGGCACAACCAATCACAACCTACTATATAAACCTCCAAAACCCTAACATTCCAATTCCCCACAACCCCCACACCGCCACTTAACTATGGCATGCACAATCGATTTCAGGAACCTGGACGAAGGTTTCGGCGGCAAGACCTACAAGCGAAAGCGCCAAGAGGCAGAAAACGCCGCCCTTACCACCACCAACACCGAAGACCATGCCTCCATGGACGTAGACGACGACACGTGTCCACCCGCCGCAAAGCGATCGGCCATCGCGTCCTCAGACAACCCCGACAAGCCGACGTTTGGTCAGCCTACCTACGATGGCGTGATCGCCGGGAAAGTGTCGGGGAGGAATTGGAAGCAGGCGCGTAAACGCCGGGCGTCGGCGAGCAAAGTGAGCGTGAGAAGAACGAGTTTGGAGGAGAGAGAGAAGGAGAAGTTGATAAAGAAAGCGTATAGAGAGAGGATGAATGAACTGAAGGAAGAGATTAGACAGAATAAGATAGAGCAGAGGAAGAGAGCCGAGGAGAGAAAGAAAAGGAAGGAAGAGAATATAATGAAATCTGGAACTAAGTTTCAGGTGATATCTAACAAGAATACTCTCAAGAAAATTGCTAAGTCTAAGGACAAGAAGTTGCTTAAGGTTGTACCTGAAGATTTCGTCAACAAGAATAAGAAGAAATAGTTTCAATTTTGTCTTTTGTTTTTCATGTTTTTGTTTCTGCCATCAAGATTATTAATATTCAATTTTGAAGCTTTCATTTCGTTTGTTAGATGGTTATATAATTTCGAATTATGCAGTACTAAATAATATAATTGAACAAGAGGCAAGAACCCATATCCCACAATTGCAAAGTAAAATTATGAAAAGTTTTTTTTTTTGTTTTTTTGGTGAATGAATATGGCTTTGATAAGTTCACCAATAATCCTTACAAGAGCAAAACCCATCTATGAAATGATGGAATCTGCTTGAATCCCTAACTGTAATTTCTCTTTTGACTATTTTTGAGATCAACTTGATTGCAGCATGGCAATCTGTACAGGCTCTCAAGTTCTTCATTACCAGTATTGGTGACCCTTGTGGCGTACAGATTAGTGCATATGCAATTGCTAATCTTTCACTATGATATTTAAGTGACTCTATTTTGAATTCCTCGTCCTCATCGTGAAGGGCGCAGCTTGTATCAGGTTTATACCCTTCCTTTTCCATTTGCTTCATCAACATTTCAATCTTTCTCGTGATTGCCTTCATTTGTGGGTGCAACTTATCGTTTGCTGTGAATACATGAACTTTGTTTTTAATTTCAACCCAGCTAGATGCTAGAACCTTCTTCACTCCACGATCTCGCATAGCCTTCTTCACCTTCTCGACATTGTCCCACTGGCCTGCAGCTGCGTAGATGTTTGACATGCTTACATAAGGGGCGGCATCTCTAAGCTCCTCCATTTTGAAAAGTTGATCAGCTGCTTTTTTAGCCAATTCTTGGTTCTTATGTATCCTACATGAGTTGAGAACTGATGACCACATGATCTCATCGGGCTCAAATGGCATTCGAGTCATCAACTTCTGTGCTTCATCAAAGCGTCCTCTACGACACAACACATCAACCATAGATGCATAGTGTTCTCTCTTTGGCATGAGTTTGTATGTTTGAGTCATGGACTTGAAGTAATGTAATCCTTCTTCAACAAGTCCACAGTGACTGCATGCAGACAACACTGTGAGGAAGCTAACTGAATCTGGTTGATATCCTGAATGAATAATCTCTTCAAATGATCTAAGAGTCGCCTCCCCATCTCCATTTTGTGCGTAAGCCGATATCAACGCGTTCCAAGAGACTATATTCCTTTCAGGCATCTCTTGAAAAGTTTGAATTGAATCTTTTAGTGATCCACATTTCGCATACATATCCAAGAGTGCACTGCCAGAAAACACATTTGACATAAAACCCGATCTAATTACAAGTGAGTGTAGCTGTTTCCCCAGTGACAATGAAGCTAAATTTGCAGAAGCTTTTAAGATGCTAGCAAAAGTGGCTTGGTCAGCACTTACATCAGCTCTACGCATCTGGTTGAACAGTTTTAGGCCTTCTTCAAAGAGTCCTTTCTGTACATAACCTGAGATCATAGCCGTCGATGGAACTCCACTTTTATGGCTTAGAGTTGCAAATATCTTTCTTGCCTCCTCAAATTTGCCACATTTGGCATACATGTCAACCAAAGAATTTCCAACTTGAACTTCAGAATTGGCTGTTGTCACAATGGCCTGGGTATGGACCTGCCTACCAATTTCCAACTCTACCATATTTGCTACTATGCTCAACAGGGTCGGAAATGGAAACTGTCTCCTATCAAATCTAGTGAAGTGTAATTCCCTGAAAAGCTTGAGAGATTCTTTGTGTAGTCCGTTCCATGCATAGCATGTGATTATCACATTGTAAGAGATACCATCCACCTCCGGCATCTCATCAAAAAGCTTCCTAGCTTCAACCACACTGTCATGCTTCGAGTAGAAATCAAGCAAAGCATTCCCGACAAACACATTCCCAACGAAATTACTCTTCACCACAAAAGCATGAATTAGTTGCCCTAATGCTATATCACCAAAGCCAATGCCAGCAGACAAAGCCGCAGCAAACGTAAAGTCAGAAGGCTTGTAACCCAGATGTTGCATCTCAATGAAGAGTCTTATTGCTTTTTTATTCAAACCCACTTTCGCGTGTCCTGTTATCAATGCATTGAAACTAATAGAATCCTTTTCGGGCATTTCCTTAAAAATCCGACAAGCCAAATCAAGGCGACGAATCTTGCAATAAGAATCAACCAAAGAATTGCAAACGACAAGGGCGGAATTATAACCAAACTTAACTATGTTAGCATGAACTTGAATAACTTCATTTGCTGTATCCAGGTCATTACATCCTGATAGCAAAGTCGCGAAGGTCACATAGTCAGGGTCAAAACCTCCTCGGCGCATATCAACAAAAAGCCTAAACGCTTCTCTGAAGTGATTACGACGCGAATAGGCACCTATTAAAATTGTCCATGACACAGATGTTCGTTCCACCATGCCATCAAACAACTCTCTAGCGCTTGCAAGGTTGCCTGATTTCACGTAGCCCGAAATTATCATGTTCGTCGAGACTGTATTTCTGTTAGGCATTTGATCAAACATTTTGCGTGCTTCAGATAACTCGCCTCTTTTAACAAGACTTTCGACGAGGAAGTTTGAGCGGCACGTGCTTAGGTCAAAACCCGTTTTGACAAGGCGGGCATCGATGAAATTCTGGACATTTTGGTTGGGTTTTGTCGTCTGCGAGGCTCTTATAGACGTAGCAAGGTTTAGAAGAACATTTGTTCTGTGAGGTTTCATAGAATTTAAAGCGGGCAGTGAGGTGTTCATAAGCAGGGGGATTAGGGAAGTGTTTGGTTACCTGCTAAAGACGAGAGAAATCAGCGGAGTTAAAAAGCAAAAACAGGCGGCTCAACTTTCATCAGTGTTTCATTGGACTCTTCTTCTTATTAGCTTTTTAAATGTCTGTGAGAAAGAATGCGTCATACTTTTTGAAGCACGCATATTGTCTATAACCTTTACTTGATGTGGGCAAATGGCAATATATTTATTGCTCAGTTCTTATTCAACAAGCAGGCAAGGCCCTTGATTAGTTTCGAACAAGGACGAAAAATTGTTCAAAACAGTTGCTGAGGACAAGCAGTTCATCAGTATCTTTCTTGATAAATGAGACATCGTTCTGTGATTAAAAGCATGGATGTCAAGTCGTTTATCATTTTGTTAGAGCTAAAGCATGGCTTAAAAGTTTATCAAGAAGCTAATTTCTTGAAGTTGAGGTGATTTGGGGACATCCACCAAATTGCGTTATCATGAATGAACATCTGAAAAATTATGCGTTAATGTTATAAAAATCCAATGATGGCATTGATCACTGTAAGACGAAGATGAGTTTCAATTTATAGGGAGTTATTATGGAAGCCTTATTTATCCATTCTTTTTCTTTCTTCCCATTGTACATCCATTCATTTACTTTTTCAAGCATCGTTTTTCCAGTAGTGAGCCCGAACAATATTTGCTTTCTTGATCTAGTAAACTCCTCTCTGATACTCACGCTCGCAGAATATTCCTCCAAGATCGTCGCAAGCTTCTGCCTTGAAAACCCTGTCAAAAACTATATCAATATCATGTTTAGTACATTTTACAAGCTTTAATTTTTGAAATACAAAGGCATAAGAGTGCAAGAGTTTTACGTCTTGGCTTCATTGTACTCAAAGTAATCTCTTTCAATGGCCTCCGAGGCTCTTGCCCTCTCATTTCTGGCCTCTGGTTGCAGCCTTACTTCAGGGTACATCTCTGCCAAACAAGCATCTCCACCAATTGTCTCACATGCCTCCGCTGGAAACACACTGAACACACAAGACTTCTATGAACAACTTTTTAACCAACCAATAATCCCAGTTCAATTATAGAAGTGATATTTTCTTTAATCATTAATTGGAAATAAAAAATTGACTTACGAGAAGGCAGAACTGTAATCAAACGTGGAAGAGGTGTCATAGGTAGCGGCAGTTTCTTTGAGAGGGGGACAATGGGAAGCAAGTGAACTGCCGAGCTTTGGTTGGGAAATCGCTTGCTGGGAGAAGACTTTGCAGGGCATTAAGGGGAGAATGGTTGGGGCAATGCACAAAGCTGCTTGCATGTTGATGATGTTGTATTGTCTGGCTCTTATTTATTTTTTTTTTTTTTTATTTTTTTTTTTCTAGTATAGTGTTGGATGAATTTAATGATTACAGATTGCGGGTTCTAATTTATAGGAGAAGTAAGAGCAAGATATTTTTGACAATATGGATATGGGTAGCTTTTTCCCATCATGTTGGAGATATTTGTTAGTAGATATTTTAGGTTCCATAAATATCTTTAAGTTGCCCTTCTTGTCAATTGTCGTGTACCCATGCATCTTAGAGAAGCTCTTTGAACCTATGAGATGCACCCACGCTCAGGAGCCTCTCAAATTCAGAGTATCGTTTATCCTATTCGGCTCCAGGGTCACGACACCAACATATTGGATTGACTTGGATGGGCATTGTCAGCCACCATTCTCACAAATACTTGGTGTTAGTAATGGAGACTCAATACGCAATAATATTATAACAGTAAAATGAAAAACCCATTATATTAATAATTTGAGTCTTAGAAATCAGTCAAATTCATTAAGACCAGTGACCACAGCATTTTAAAGCGCCAAGAAATGGAAATCCCGGACCATCCATCCATTGGACTGAATAAATAAATGTTTTATTGATATATTCAAGATACATACCAAACCCCATCAACTGTAACAATTTACATTTACAACCATCTGAACACAAAAAAAAAAAAAAAAAAAAAAACCTGCAGCTGGATCTCTGTATTTCCAAAATTACATCTTTCAATAGTCCCTTCACAAAAATCTCCATAAACATGAAGCATCTGTCTGGTGGTAGAACTGCAGAAATCTTTATCACCATTGCATGCATAAAAGTTGAGAACTCAATAGTGTCCATGTTATCAGGATATCTACCGGGAATTATTCGATACTTGTGTGTTTGCTTCGACATAGTGGGATAAAAAAAGAGAGGCAAAGGCTCTTAGTTTACAGATCCCTCAGTAAAAAGCCCATCCCACAGAAATTTCATAACTGATATGGAAGGATAAAAGATGCCCATACGAAGACACTGCTCATACCTCAGATTTTAACGGATGCTTTACACATACCAGATCATCCAACTTATTGCCATCCATTTTGTATAGAGATACACCTTCCATTTGAAAATAGTGATCCTGTGCTTCCTTTCTTAGACTTTTAGAAGGCATAACTTCCCATTTGTTGTAATTTGAATTCTTCCTGACATCACTCATGTCGGAAGATCCTGATACAGGTCCACCGCTGTCACCATCAATGTTGCCCCATACCTTACAACTACCAAACTGACCCAAGCCACCAGCCTGACCAGCTTGACTCCTCTTTAATCGCAAGGCAGCGGCAAGAGCTCTGCCAATCATTTCTCGACTAGGCACATTCGACCAGTCTTGGTTTCTCTCAGCTCTCATGGGAGAATGAATCCTTATAACCTAATGAACATAAATAATGAAGATATTTATTAGGATACAATAATTTGTTGCAAAGGGCCATCAATCTGAGGAATGATGTTGTATAACATTTTTGCAAGATCAGAAAAAAGTATCCTTACACCAAGACACTCTAGGAGCTGGTAATATGACCTTCCCTGAAGAGGATTATGCCCTTTCCTTGGCGCAGAGAAGTATCTTGTCCTACAAGAAAGTTAATGACAAATAGTTAAAAACTAGGATCAGGAGAAACAAGCATAATGTTAAATGCACATATAGAAGAAAATCTGAAATTCTAGGAAAAAAAGAAAGGAATGAAAAAAAATGATGAAAGTGGTTATAAAGTAGCAGCCAAATCAAGAGAGATCTGCCAAATTTCTCGCAATCTAGTGACAAATAAATGTCGACTATTCTTATCCCTCACCAGCCATTAATAGGAAAGAATATGAAAGTTAAAATGAGAGTACTTCATCAGCAGTAAGCATTTATATAACACAATATTGGTATTCCCAAAAAGAAAAAGAAAAAATCCGTATCATTTTCTTTTACTTTGTCCTAGAATTGATAAAACTATGAACTTAGGTAATTTCCGTGTCACCAAAATTTCAAATACTTTTATGCCATATTAACATTTAAGACATTGCAAAGATCTAATTCTTAACAAATTGGGAAAGAGAAAGATTAAGGTTGATACAAGAAATGACAAATAATGCAAGAGCAAGAACAATAGATTCCAACACCCAAAATAATATGGGAAAACAAAAAATGACATAAAATTTAAACTAACCATTCAGTATAGCCAGGATCAACGGTGAAACCATATATGTCAACAATGTCACACATAGAAAGTGCGAGTTCTATAGATTTCATTCCAGTTCCTTTGGCACCTCTGCGTAGAACAATCCCTTGAAAGAGATAAACAGGATTTGGAATACTCTGTAACATCATAAATAAAACATGTTAATATTCCAATAAAGAAGGCTTTGGTAAAAACCTCTAACTAACAAAACTCAGCAGAAAGTAAAATAACATAAGATGGAGGTAGCACTATAGGAATTAGACATCACAGATTCAATTGACGAAAGATTTCTGGACTTCCCTTAGGCAGGAATGATATAATCACTACTAACATGACAATTTTTTTTTTTTTTTTTCCTTTCCTTTCCAATAAACCATCGATGGATATGAAAAAAAAAATATATATATATATCTAGGCCTTCTGAGACATGCATCTTACCTTTATCATTTCGTTAAAGTCTCTGTGAGTCACACTTTTAATTATAAGTACCTCATCAGCTGCAGGAGGGAAAATTAAAGTACATTAGTATAATATTAGAAAACCATGTTAATGGCAATGAAAAAGAAGATAAACACGTCCAATTTAGAAGAGAAAAAGGAGCTAGAGAAGATTAAGCATATAAATCTGCCGTTAACACTAATAAAGAGTAAACCTTACTTGATCCGTTTAGAATTTTAACCATGTTACGAGCAGCACCCCTTACTACAAGGCGGAAATCTCTCTTCAAACCAACATGCTTGGCATATTTCTATAAACCATGAGAAAGGTAAAATAAGCACTTTCATAACTGCTGAACTACAATGTAGTAAAAGAAAGTTAAAGTCCAGAATACACTGAAAATCATATGAGGAATTATGAAGTTACAACATATCATGAAAAATAGGAAGCTTTTTGCTCTAAGCAAGACAACTGATAGATCATTTCATCCTAATGAGGAGACAAAGCCACGGCAACATGAAACATGATGAATTGGAGGAGAAAAAAAGCCTCAGGGTTACAAGTTTACCTCATTAACAGGAGCCTCATTATCTCTTATAACAGCATCATGACTATCAATCTCTTTCCCAAACTCTGTCTTCAAGAGATCCCCTGAGTTTCCAACAACTGCACATTTGTGAAACTGCCGCGGATGAAAAGGAGGCTTTGCAGGTAGAATCAAATTAAGATGCTCCTCACAAAGAGTTCGATTGTAGCATTTATCAGCTCCTCTAAAAGCAGAAGAACGAGGTAAATAAAATACCCAATACTTAAAAACATTTAAATACCAAATTTAAATATAACCAAATGAGAAACGAAAAAAAAAAAAAAAAAAAAAAAAAAAAATAGAATAAGTTCAAGATCATACAATTGTGCTATCCTTTTTGCCGCATAATCCAGCCATCCATCTGGCCTCACATCTAGATATTCTCTTGTCAACACTGTGGTCATGTTTCGATACTGCATTTTCAAAGAAATATCAGAACCTATCATCTCCTCTAACAATAAAGGGACAATGGTAAAGTACAAAATACCAACCTGTTCCCACAACAGAATTGCCTCGCAAACATCATACTTGTACTCCAGAGGCTCAAAAATTTTAAACTGAGCATTGAACTGAAATTAAAATAAAAACAATTAGCACGCAATATCTCACTAGAGAACTAAGCATATGCACGAAAATTGAAAAAAGAAAAGAGAGAGAGAGGAAGCAGACCCAGGTGCTGTTAGTGCCTTCAGGGAACTTAAGAGTCAATTTACAATGATCAATTATCTGTGCAGTGAGTCCAAGCCCTCTGTTTGCCTACATTTAAAGTACAAATTACAGTAAAAAGAAAATATCACAGATAAACCTAAAATCCACTGAAGTATTAAGTAGACAATCAGCTCCTGTAAAACTTGATGTGATCAACTAATGTAGTTCCCTATAATGCAACTGAACCGATACACACGCAGTACATGCAGATCTGAAACTAAGAGAGTGTAAATATTTTCTAAATAAATAAAATTAATAAAAAATGCGCGAAAGTATAAACTACTTACCACGCATTGCTGAACATTTAACTGAAAATCAGATAAAATACGAACTTCTTCGGTGTTGAGATCTGAACGTGAAGAACCTGAAAGGACCGAAAAGTTAGGATTTAATTACGAGAAGATTATGAGTAAATAAAAAGAATAATAAATTTAAAGTACCCGTTAAGAAAGAGGATTGGAGAACGAAAACGAGAAGACCGAAGAGTGCAGCAACGCATACCAAATGTAGAAGCGTGGGTCGCCTGCTGTTACTGCCGTGCGATGAGGACTTGTGAGGTTTCATTGTTAAGTTTAATTCCTATGCAAAACTCGTACGATCCAATTTTAACATGGGAGATGGGAATCCTAGCCATGGAAAGCCTGTTACTCTTTTCTGCTGCTTTGTGTAAATGCTCAAACGGTACCGTTTTATTAACCGAGCAAAGTTGCATTAAAATTTTAAATTATTTAACAGGATTATTACATCTTTATTTTGTATCAGAGTTGTCTGATTATCATAACAGTAAATTTTACGTTATATTTATAATACAAATTTTTTTATCACATTCAAAATTGAAATTAAAATAACTTGATATAATAATCAATTAATTATACATACGTGTATATATAAAACTTTTACAATGTTTCATCAAATCAATTATCTGGTTTTCTATTAATCTCAATGTTTGTTTGGTTTCCTGAGAAGAACTTAAATTGCAACACAATACTTTATTAGTAATAAAGTAAAATAAAAAGGGGAAAAAAATGTTGCGAACTTGGATACATGTTGGATTTACATCAAAGACAAAGAGTTGATTTTCTTACTGTAATCTACAAAGTCGTACTAATAATTCACACACAAGATATTTTCAAGGCTAATGTCTCATAATAAACTTAAACAGACGCTCATCACTGCTGCACTGATGTTTTAATATCGGCGACCGCCAGATGTTGACAAAAGCACTCGACTCGGTTTTTTACCCTTCTTTCCCACCTCATTCATCTTGCGAGAATCCAAATTCTCAACAGTTTTTTCTCTCGAGATTACATTCGCAAATGAGGGAGTCCCTGAATTCCTTGAACCTACGTAAACCAAAATTAAATAAATAAAAATTGCAGTCAATGCAATGCCAACATTCTCAGGCTGTAAGTTATGTAAATCCAAAAAACACCCCGGCAAGTAACGCAAATTGACAACCTATCTATTCGGAAAAGAGAAATACCAGTTACACCAGAGGAACCATTTGATCCTTCATTGTTATGCACATCAATGGTTTCCTCAATTTTCAAGGCTGGTGAATCATGCCCGGCAGCAAAACCCAGCCGTGTTACATTTGAGAAAAGTCTCCGCTCTCCGACGTTTGGAGGGCTTGATGATGTCACAGGAGAGCTTCCTAGAACTACAAAAATAAATAGTGTCAAAATCTAAAACCGTCTACGCATTTGCAAATATTTCATACATTAATATATAGATTAGTTAACTTTATTTCAAAACAGAAATTTCTGAGGCCAGCGGGATCGCAAAATTTTAGATTTGATACAAGATTTTCTGACTGGTAACTGGTTGTCTAGCTCAATCAACAAATCATTAAAATATAGTACAAATTAGTACAATGCAAACCATCTTGGGGGGATTAATAAAGTTTCAGTTAAAAGAGTAAACTTGTAAAAATTCTCACTAAGAACCCATGTCATACAATATTAGGCAACACTACGCTGACAAACAAATTTCATAAACTTTCTCTCACAAACCCAATGTGGCAGCTGATAATTGGTTTCTGATGAATTTTTCCATCAATAAATTCATCAGAAACTACTTATCAGCTGCCATTCGGAAAAATTCATGAGAAACTAATTATCAGCTGCTATGTTAAGTTTGTGAGAGAAAATTTATGAAATTCGTTGGTCAGCCTATTGAACAATATTTTCCAAAAACGAGAACAGATACTTGATCACCCTAAGAATTATGTCATTAAGATTTTGACCAACAAATAAAGCACTATATTACCTTCAAAATCATCCATGGAGAACGAAGGGGAGTCATCATGAGAGGATTGTCCAAATCTGGGTAATATGGGCACAGAATGCACCAGAGCAGCTTCAGCCTTCATTTTGTCCTTCCAGTCCTGGAAATATGAAAAGTTATGACACAAAATTCTAAGGGCATGGACATACTCATTTTATTATGCATTCATACAGAAAGCCAGAAACTTGGTCCATAACAAACATGACACTAATCTGAGTCAATTTTGCGATTACTGTACTACAATGTATGAACCAGATATACCATTTTACTTCCTATAATATGAGATAAAATTATGAAGCCGGAAGCACAGCGTATCAAGAGGTTTTCTTAAATTAAATAAGAAACTATTTTATTTACATTGAGGTTTTTGATATGTACCAATCAGCCTTCAAGTTTTGCTAACCCAGTTTGATTTGAAACTCCTCATTGCTTTATTTAATCTTGAGACTTTAAGAGAAAAAATAATGTCTAGAATAGATATTCCAGCAAGCAAAACATTTAAAGTCAATATGGCCTAGAGATGATACCTGCTTGGCAAGTTGCTTCCTCAGCCTCTCACGCTTCTTGATTTCATCCATAAAGGGAAATAGTGCATCAGCAGGCAGTATCTCACTCAAATCAATCTCACAAAGCTGAAAAAATTAAAGCCCAATGATCAGACACAACAAGCATACTACAACAATAAGAGAAATTATAACAATAAAGGCAAGGTAGGTACTTGGAATGTCGTCGTTAAAGAGAAATGACTTAAGTAACGATAGCGCCTCCGTATGGCCTCAGACTGAGTCACTGTTTCCAACTGTAAAATCCTTCCACTTATTCTGAAAGTAATAAATAACAGACATTAGTAGAAAGCTTAACCAAATATCAGTGAAATTTGTTTCATATCCACTCCCTCATTTTGGAAAAAATGTTTCAGTATGATATCAAAAGTCAACATACATTCTCTAATGTAATGCATATTTGTGATACTAAATGAAGATTGCTTAAAATATACATTTACTTGTATCATTCCAACACAAGCTTACCACAATTGCTAAAATGACTTAAAGCCTATATGCATCTGATATGATCAAAGGAGCACTATTTGGTGGCATAAAAAATTCGTAATCCTTTCATCTGAAGAAGTAAATTTTATAGATACTCCTTACAAGTTAATTTCAAGAAATATTTCACCAAACCTGTCTGGAAGCATATCATAGCTACCATAATGGTGTAGAAGGCATTTCATGTTTAACGGATGAACAATGAGGTGCTGACCATCAACTGCCTGAAATAGACACAAAAACAGATCATAAGTAATTCTCACCCTTCAAACATAGTAGGAATAGGAATTACATAAAAAGAATGCTAATAAACACCAAACATGCATCATAATCTGAGAGGGATCGAACCACATAAAGCAACCAAATTAAAACAATTCATACAGCTCACAAATAAGACAATAATAATAGTTCAAGATATGTCACACATAGTAATACAATATACAAAGCAACATATGGGAATCATGGAAATCCCACCAACATGCAGTATTTCATTCATTTCATAAAGCGTTCCGTAACAGCATGTATTCTCATCTTGCCATAACCATCACAGGTAGAAAAAAACTTAGGTGTAACAAATTGCTTCTCTCAACCATGCTCCTGAAATAGTTTCATTGTCTTCAACTCATTTATCATGTAACAAATAATATCACTTCACGGCAACCATAAGCTGTTCAAGCCATCACGCAGGAACATGCTCAAAATAAATGAAGAGCTCATTGAGCACAGATACTGAACCTATGTGAGGCAAAATATACCGTGAATAATGGAAAAAAATTTCTCAAGTTAAAATGAAAATCTATGCCGGTAAACACATCCAATTGAATACTTCCGTATCTCATACAAAAGAACCAATAATCTATAGTATTTTCCCCCCTAAACAGCTATATTGAAATAGAAGATCTTCAATCACCTGATAAAAATTGTATGAATCCTTGTCCCTTACGTCTCTAGAGCCAGTAAAGTGAATCTGCAAGCTCTTATTTTCATCATATGAAGAAGATAAATTTGTGTCTCGGCCTTCCAACAGTTCACCTACATCAGCATTTTGACCCAGACCAGTCCCACCACTTGACTTGTCCAATCTCAAATCACCCAACAACTTACATTGCTCACTGACATCAATAGACACTGATTTGTGTCCAAAACCACATGCATCTTGATCTCTATTGTTTTCAGTTGAGAGAGGTCCATGGGATTCATTCCGGCAATCAGTATGGTTACCAGATTTATTGCTGTCACATGCCCGATGCTCACTCCAATACTTTTTCCTCTGTTCTAATTGATCCATTGCGGCACAAACATAAGGAAGCTTCTCTAGATCATCCACAAGTCCCAAATCAGCTCTGACCAACCAACCATCCAAATCTGATATTGCTTTTCTGACAGATAGGTCTACATCTGATGTAAACGTAAACTTTGAGAAGGGATCATAGATTTCATCACTGCAACAAGGCAAAGCACTTTTATCTTGTTTACTTTTTTGAGATAGTGTGAATGAATCTCTTTCCCGAGTTAGAAGCATAAACTCTATAGTATCACCAACATGATATTGTTTGACATTCTCAATGTCGATGGTGTACAAATCCTTTGGAGATATCATCACAAAACATAAAGGGCATCTTTTAAAGCAGTCACCTTTATGATTATCCTCACCCATCAACAAATATTGTAGTATACACGGGAAACAAAAAATATGTCCACATGAGGTCAGTTGTGGGCACAGAGGATGTTCCAAACAAATAGGACACTGAACTGGAAATGGAGTGGAATACCTCACACATATGATATCTTCCCACTGTAACATTTTATCAGGATCCATTGATTCAGGTATGTAGTTTCCAGTATCCAACACAACAAACTTGTAATTTGCCTGAAGAAATAAATCTTTATTGTAAGGCTTTATCTTCCGCTGCCTTCTAGGAGGAGGAGGTGTCAGCCTGTATTGAGGACGATTGATGGGGTCATATTGAAAATTCAGCAAATGATTTCCATTTATCATTTGGGCTCTTTTTCCCACTGAATGTGCCGTACCTCCCTGAGAACTCATGGACCCAGTACTCTGTTGACTTCCAAGAGAACCAGTGGTTCCCGACATTTTCCCCCTTGACTGGGTGGATCCAACCCCACTACCACCCGAATGATTCCGGGATTGTGACTCACTGTTTTGGTGAGGCAAATGCTTCCTACCATTAGGCGTCCCTACTTCACTCACCTAAAAAAAAGCACACATGTATGACAACAGTTCATACAATTGCGTTACATTGAATAAAATCTTTTTTGACTCTGCTATATTTCTTTCCCTTTCAGTCCAAATTCATTATAATAATAACGTAGTAAACCAAAATTAATAAGTTTGAAAGAACGTAAGTACCTTGCATTGAATAACGAATATTCGTTCACATACCTCTTTGGAAGATCCACCTGCATCTTGTACAGTTGCATCCAAAGGGCCTGTTACATACACCAAGTAAGATTAAACAATAATAACTACTCTAAAACCAGCAAACACAAATAAAACACAAGCAGAAACACTGACAGGAACAACTTTATCACAAAACATGAAATTATAAACAAGTTGATAGCAACTCCCAAGCTAATCTCAAATACAACACATAAGCACGTGAAAGGCGTATACAAAACGAACAAAATCTTTAAAACTTTTGCAACAGAACGAAAAAACAGAAACATTGAATCCGAAAAAATATGGTTTAAATAAAAAAAATTAAAAAATTAAAAAGGACCTGGAATCTGATTGGACATGGAAGGAGAAGAACGAGGAAGGAGATTGCCATGATTGAAATTAGGGTTTTGACTGTTAGAAACAGATGATGTGGATCCTTGGATTTGTGACTGTGAGGGCAAGATGGACATGAAAATTGTANAATTATAAACAAGTTGATAGCAATTACCAAGCTAATCTCAAATACAACACATAAGCACGTGAAAGGCGTATACAAAACGAACAAAATCTTTAAAACTTTTGCAACAGAACGAAAAAACAGAAACATTGAATCCGAAAAAATATGGTTTAAATAAAAAAAATTAAAAAATTAAAAAGGACCTGGAATCTGATTGGACATGGAAGGAGAAGAACGAGGAAGGAGATTGCCATGATTGAAATTAGGGTTTTGACTGTTAGAAACAGATGATGTGGATCCTTGGATTTGTGACTGTGAGGGCAAGATGGACATGAAAATTGTACAAGAAGAGGTTGTTGTCTCGGCGTTGGCGTTGGCGTTCAGCTGAAACTGTTTTCCGTTTGCTTCCACTATTTAATACAACCTCTCCCCCTTCTCTTTTTCTCGCATCTTCATGGAATAACCGCCACGTATATATACACGTAATGTTTATGCAAGTACTTTCTATTTTCTAAATTAATATCTTAAAAATTTATATAAAATAATAAAATGTGACTTTAAAGTAGATACATTGATAATAATTTTCAGTTATATTAGTTTTAATAATCTTCTCTTTTATATAAGTTTGAATTCTATGTCTATTGTATATTACACATATATCATTTTATAAAATTAATTTCATGGTAATAATGATTCGGAATCTCGTGTGCCACAAATTCAGTAAATGAAATAAACTATGAAATTTTTTTTTGGACGAAAGATTTGACAAACCCATTTATTGATTTTATTCATGCAGGTGAATCCATTACATTTAGACAAAGCATACACACACAATTACACTGAACTCAGATGTTGTGGGCTTGTGTCCTAACTATATACATGGCATAGGGATTGAGAGTACAGTTTGATCAACATGAAGCAAAATGCCATCCATCAGGTAGCAAGGATTTTCCTGCATCATTTTGCAGCTGTTAAGCGTCGAAAATCTTGCGGGTGAAGTCAATAACGAAGGTGCGAATTTCCATTGGAGCAAGTTCTACAACCAGTTTTGAAGGATCCACAGGTGAACCTCTCATTACCTTGGATTCTTCTCTTGAAGAGCCTTCTACTTTCCATACAAGTCTCTTCTTTTCCATTTCCCTCCTTTCTTGATTGGCAGATAAGCTCGTCTCAGTCACTTTGCCAATCTGAATAATATGAAAGCAGAGAACGTTAACGTTAAAAGATGAAACTAAATGGTCGTCAAAAGATACCTCCTTAACATCTGGAGCATTACTCGTACCTTTTCGCTCGGGAACAACTTCTTCAGTTCTACATTCGTCATCGTAGAAAGATCCTTGTCCTCAGCGACCTTTCATAATTTTAAGAACCGGTAAGAATAAGCAATTTCAAGCAAGACATTAGAGAATAACCAATGCAGATTGATGGAAGCTTATAGCTTTAATATGTTGATGGCCATTTAAAGTTGTACACTCAGTCAAATTCTGTGTAAGTTACTCGATATATAAGTTGCATATACTTTCAGATGTTTGAGTAGTGTAAAGGAGAGATAAAAACCTCATATAGATGAGCTAATCGAAGAAGAACTTTTCCATCATCAAGCTCCTGTAAAAATTCCACGAAGCAAATTCAAGTTAGAGAACAATACCCAGCAATTTGTAAGGCATTGATTCAGTAAATTTCAGTAGTGCCGGCAATTTAGGCCACAAAAAACGGGAACAACAATTTGTCATTCCTAAATCACGATTTCACCAAAATTTAAGAAAGAAGAAGAAGAAGAAGAAACTGTAAGAGACAATTGCTTTCTTGAAGAACAAAGCCCAATTACCTGCAGAGTTACAATAGCAACATTATCAGGTAAAGTATAGGAAGAATCTATCCCAGAAAAAGTGGATACATGAGAATTCGTCCAATTATCTCCATCCTGCAAGAAGAAAATAATACCTCTAAGAAATTTTTCAAAGAATATAAAAAATATTCTTTCTTGCTTTCTTTTCATTTAAAAAAAAAAAAATATATATTATATATATTACCTCCTCAGTAAAAGCTAAAAGGAGGGCGAATAAATCTCCTGGCCAAAAGAACGTCTCCACTTAGCACCTTCACCTAGCGGTCAATTTTGAAAAATACTTTCCTTGGATCTGCAAAAGTTACAGCAACTTAGAAGTGGATGCTAATCATTTCAGAAATAAATCATATTTAGCGATATTAATGAGGCTTTTTATGCAATTTAAAGGCAGTCATGAATTCGAAGTAGAAACACCTAGGAGACTTCAAAATAACAGTTGTAGAAAATCTATGCAAAGTTGTGATCTTGGAGGATTCAATAAGCCAACAATATTAAAGTCACCACAGTACTAATGATTTTTTTTTTTTTTTTGTTTGTTTTGGGCAGTTGAAAGTTTCGATCTTAAAGACTTTACTTGCTGTTAATAAAAAGGATGAAGCAAGGATGACAAGACATTCACTGCAGCTAATTTAGGAATCTAAATTTGGTTTGAAGGAAAACCAAATTTGATAATTGACATGCACAAAAAACAAAGTATGTCCTTACCTCAGTCCTCTGCATCATCCAGTATACAGACTGTCTCATTTAAGTTCTCATCAACACCCCTAGAATCACAAGTAGCAGTCTCCTAGAAGGAAAAGAATGTTGTTAGCATTCTGATATCTGTGGTGCAAAAAGAGAACAATGTCAAGAATTATAACAATTGAGTCCTTGGCCTTTATCATGCCACTAGAAAACACCACTCTTATGAGTTGACTGCAATGACAGTCTACTTATCATCCACTAATTACAAACATCAAATTTTCAATATTCATGATATAATAAATCAGCCTTAACCCATACGGATATTCAGTCTGCTTCATCCAATTAGTTTTTTAAAATAGGCGTATAAGAGTTGATCATTACTGACATTAAAAAGGTGACATAATACGTGAAGCATCAACTCTATTTGTCCATCTACTTAGCAGATCCTCCAAGAGGCCGATCCACAGAAATGAAAATTCTTTTCCAGAACCTTGGGCGTAGATTCCAAGATTAATATGAGTGAACAATATAAAATGATACGAACTTAAAGAAGGGATATTATTATTCAGTAGAAAATTTGAATGGTTTCTAACCATTGTAACATTTGGCTTGAATCCTTATAGAAACATATGGACGAATTCAACGCAACGTAATTAAATTATAAATCCTCACTTGGAAATGAAAAAAAAAGAATAAACAAGCAATAATCTCAATTCTCACTCTCATTTTATCTTGTTTTGAAAGAAAAAAAGTGGCTCTATCATCACATTGATTTAATTCACATACACAGATAAGTGTGAGATGACCACAAACTGAGGACATTCCTATTAGAAATATATCAAAAATAAGCAACTATACGTCATATTCACCATAAAGAACAGACATCCCACTAGTATGCACAATGAAATTGAGAGGTCAAGCCAACCACTGTTACTATCAATTTGAAATTTTTTGGGGTAAATGCTAACCAAGACTTTCAGAAGAACATACAGGGTAATAATTTCCTGCAATGGTTGGTTTACTTCCAGTTCCCAGTCGATCTATAATCACGATCTGCAAGAGAGATACATCCTTAGTTCGTGCATCACTCAACGGATTAGAAAATAAACAAAAAGAAGTTGGCTATACACAAGAAAACAAAAAAAATAACTTGTTTCCATCCTTCAATTGAAGGATGTTGAAACATAGTTAACATATCATGAAGCCAGCTATATAGCAGAATAAACTTTCTGCTAACATTCAGTGCCCTGTACCATTATGCAACATACCCTTTGATGAAGTCACGTCCATTAGAATCTGTGTAGAATGTTCTATGGTTCCAAGGTAGTTGTTATCTGAGTGACAACTTCTTTACCAAGTCCATCACAATAGGTATAGGCCCAACCTGGTAAGTCAATTATTGGCAGTGCATAGAAACAGCAGTTAGAGCTCAGCATGCATGGATGTTCGAGAGAAAAAAAGTAGCTTTTCAACCAACCAACCAAACCCTAAACTCAGCCGCTGCCCATTCCCTCCCAGATTTTATCAATATAAAAGAAATAATTGAAAAAGAAAGGTAGCATCTCCATCACTAAAATCAAATTTTTGATAAGAGAAATTAAGTTTGTGCAGCCATTGAGAAAGCTTACAATGAACTAACTTCAACGTGCTCTTTACCTTGTATAATCTTGTGATCTGCACAACACATTGAATACAACATTAAAGAAATTGAAAAACTTTGTATCTGTAGTAAATATGAAAGACTTTTTACCAAGAAAACAATCTATCATGCATAACAATGAGAAAATGATTCTATTTCAGATGCTTTGTGAATTGTCTGGGTCTCATTCACTAGTCCAAAATTTTTTAACAAGAAAATATCGATACTGAAAAGTGTAAAAAATAAAAAGGAGATGGCCCTGAGAAAACCTATAAAAGTTTTACTATACATCTAATTAACTGGCTCAGTTGAGAAGTGGCTACTTCAAAAATTCTCTTCAAAGTTGTTACAATAGCAATTAAAATGATTCTCGTGTTAAAACAGAATTAAAAAAACTTTAAGAGAATAAACAAAGATGACCACATGAAAAAAAAAAAAAGGCACCCTGATATATCCAATCATGATCTTTTGATGTACTCATCTTATTGGCCCCCGCATTACAGTCAAAGAAACCTGAAACTTTGAAAAAAAAAATTCTACTTCACAACTGCTATGATTATCAATTCTCTAATGAAACTACCATCAGAAGACAGCAAATACCTGTCCTTCAGGTTGATGAGAAATGTACCATTGGGCGGAAAATATATGCCCCAGCATTCTAAAAAAGAAAAATCAACAAGCTGCATAAGAAATCAACTTGGAAAGGGATAATTAATATTACTTTGAATTTCAAGTCATGCAACTTCAAATAACAATGAAGAGAGGAAACAATTAGCCTGACAAGGGAACTTCAATTAACATATGTCTACCTGAGGAGCTTATCATTAGTTCCATTAAACCAGGGTAAAAACTGGATGACTGCTCAACCGATTCCTGAACCTTCAAAATTTAAGAGTTGATGCATTAGAAACACAAACTCATATATATTTTCTTTTCCCCCTTGGGAAGGGTGCGTGTGTCTGGAATGGGATTGGAACGCAGTAAAATAAGTTGAAATGTAATAAACATAGTGTGGCAGTAGAAACAGAATGATATCACAATAAACTCTGCTTCAATATTAGGGAGAAAAATGAACAAATTCATAAAAGAAAAATCTTAGCAAGATGCGACCTGGACAACGAGGGTGTAGGAAAAGGGAAATAAGGAGCAAATAGTGGATTGAGGGGATGCTGGCAGGAAACTTCCAGGGTTAGGTAGACACGGGGCAATTGAGGGTTGGGACAGACAAGGAATTCAGTTAGGGGAGAGAGAGGGGCTGGAGTAAAAAAGAGAGGGAGAGAGCAGATTAGGGCAGGAAGAATATAGGGAAACTTGGGAGGAGCACCTCGAAGTTAGCATTAGGGAGAGCTGCCCAGAAGTCAGCATTGTTTTTCTTTTCATATTTTGATTTGTCCTTTGGGTTGATGTGCTGGGTATATTTGTTGTGTGCTGCCATTGTGCTGTTGGGTAGTAAGTGTAGTTTCATCAGGTGTATTTTCTTGCGAAATATTAATACAGAAGTCTATAGTTTTGGTTATTTGGCTACTGCTTACTGCTTATTTTCGGGTTTATTGTATTTTGCTTTCTGTTTCCGTTGTGGTTAGCTGAGTTGGGAGTGGGTTACATCAGCAACAAATGAAAAGCAATTTGTAATCAGCCGATCGTACATACCGAGCTTTTGCTATAATATAATTAGTGTGTTGCTTTGATCCGAGGAGAAAGTAAGCTTTAAATTCGGACCAACTTCAACAACAGATTTTTCACTACTTTCAAATGTGTGTACAGATGATTTTGTTGAACTGGCCCCTGCAATATAAGTGGCACAATTGAAATAAAAAACTTATGTTGATAGCTAGGAAAAATTGGAAACCAAGCTTTCATTTGGCATTTTAATTTCATAAGATATGGCACCCATCCACTGACCTGTTGTTTTGACAGTTTTTATGGTATAAGTGCTGAAACCAAGCGGAGGTACAGAGACCGACAACGCAAGCAAATATTTAGGTGTCAGGCTTGGAGTTCTACCCAAATGCCCTAACATGGTGTTCCTTAGATCAATGTAAGAACAGTAAAAGGAAGAAGTTGTGATTCGATTACTTTTCCCTCAGAATCAAAAACAGTAAATCTTCATTGTCAACCTACAGCGAGTTAGATCGTGAGTAGCTGACAGAAGAAAAATGGAAAAAAGCCTATTCATAACAGAAAGAATTTCATATTTTGCAAAGTACAATATGATACTATTTGGAGCTTTGACAACAAATTATGAAAAACCTGTGGAAAGAATTATAGCAATCATCAACTGTAGTATGATCTAATGCTGAATAATTTCCAAACTACAAAGAAGTGAGTGCTTTAGCTCTTCATTAATAACTCATGTCTTATTCAACAACACAAGCCAACAGACGAAGTTGAATCTAAGAACCTAGCTTATTTTCCACTTCAATGCAAGCAAAAGCAATTTCAGAAGTATTATTCCAGTCTAAAAGATCTTATTAATATCATTGAGCATTTATCATACTCATTATATGTACTTAAAGAAAAAGTCCCCTTAGCATTCCATTCCTTAAGATTTTCAAGTTTTAGTTTCTTAATGACATTTGTTGTTCTTATTTTTCCTCTTATTGCAAATAAACCTCAAATAATGAAGCACTATAAACGTTTTCCTTTTTCTAATCATATGGCTAATTTCTGAACCACAAAAAGGATTTGTTCATCTAGCACTTCAAAATTACATGCAAACAAGCAAGAAAACGGTTAAATACTATGCTAAAGACCAGTACATAGAAATAATGGCAACTGTTAAAATATACTGGTCGATGAGTTGGGATTCAAGGCATGAGCAGTTTTTCCCAAAGTAGAATACTCACGAATTCTAATTACATCATCTCTCTTCCACCCAAGGGAATTGTAGACCACACAATCTATACATGAGAAGACAGCACAAATTATATATTTAAAAGTAGAAGGCTAAATATGATAGATTACAACCA